AGCCGCAGGCAGACGCTTAAGGACTGAGCCACCCAGGCGCCCCTAAGATCTTATTTTTAAGTAGTCTCTACACCCAGTGCTGGCTAGAACTCACAACCCTAGAGTCACATGCAGTACAGACTGAGCCAGACAGCTGCCAGGAAGTTCGTTTTTTACATTTATTTATCTATTTTAGAGTGTGTGAGGCAGGGGTGGGGGGGACGGGCAGTGGGAGAGAGAAAGAAACTTTAGCAGACTCAGCGCTCAGCCAGCCGAGGTGGGGCTCCATCTCACCACCATGAGATCAGACTTATGCCGAAAGCAAGAGTTGGCCGCTTAACTGCGCCACCAGGGTGACCCTTGAAAGTTCATTCTTGATAAAAATCTCAAGAGATAGCTGAGAACTTAGATATACAAAATTTTCCAACTAAGATGATAGTACAAAATATATATCTCAATATCTTTTGCATCCCTCCCTCCCCACATATATATGGGGAGAGACAGAGAGAGAGAAGTGACTCAAGCCTATTTTTGGGGCAATTCTTTCAATGTATAATCTCTTTAAATCCATCAAACTGTGTGAGATGAGAAAACTGAAACTCAGAGGTTGAATAACTTGCCCACAATCATAACTATAAAAAAACTTTCATCTGCCCATATTGGTTTCCATGAAATATAACCGGGAACGATGCCCTAAAATTAATGAATGGAAACTAATTATTTGAGCCTGGCTTCTCTATCAGAATCATCCTTCATCCCAGCTGAGTTCCCCCAGGCACTTCGCCCGCAGCTGTGCAGCCGGATCCCGCGCCAGTGCGGTCCCAGACCTTGGCCCCGAGCTCATGGATCGCCCTGGTCCCCGCATCAGCCAGAGATGGAGTAGGAGTGACTGAGGATGGCAGGCTCCGGGTCAGGAGCAGGACTGCTGAGGGCCTGAGAAGGGAGTAGGAGAGGGGGCGGGGCGGTGTGTGCCCCGCCCCCGTCCCTCTGTCAACTCCCATTGGCCGAGGCTTTCCTGGCCCCATCCCACCGCCCGCCCGCAGGGCGACGCTTAAAGTGTGCCGAGCAGGTGCCTCGCGTGGAGCAACAACTTTGCGCGCGTGTTCAGGCTGAGCGCTACGCCCATTCATTGCCCACGAGCGCCCATCCGTCTGTCCTGCGAATCGTCCAACGATAAGGGGCTCCAGGCAGAAGGCAGCCGCCACCTGGAGGACTGCGACCAGAAGAGGCCGAGAGCGCGGCTGACCCTCGCGGGCCGGGCAGGGGACTGTGGCCGCGACCATGCAGACGTGCGCCAGGGCCTGGGGGCTGCGTTTGGGCTGTGGAGTCGGGGGCGGCCGCCGCCTGGCTGGAGGCACGGGACCGCTTTGGGTACCGCGGGGCCGTGACAGCAGCAGCTGCGGCGGGGACAGCAGCAGGGCTGGGGACTCGCGCCTCCTCGAGCGCCTCCTGCCCAGACACGACGACTTCGCTCGGAGGCACATAGGCCCCGGGGACAAAGACCAGAGGGAGATGCTACAGGCCCTGGGGCTGGCGGTAAGGACCCCACCGGCCTTCTAGGGCCTCATCCCGCCCTGCCCGGTTTCTGCCAGCGCGGCCTCCCGGCCCCAGCCCGGAGCTCCGCTTTGCTCCGTGTGGGACCCGCTCCCGGGTCTGGGGCCCTGGCGTGGAAGCGAGCCCGCGAGTTCGGTTCCTGTGCCCTAGCTTTCTCTCACCCGTTTACTTTCTCCACCCGCTCTTCGCGCCTCAGAACCTTATGTTTTTCAACCCAACTCGCCCTCCTGATGAACCCTAACTTTGCAAAAGGAGGACCTCCTGGTTTATCCGATTATCTCCGGTTGCTGACTGAAATCAAACCTGGAGTGGTGGAATCACTAACCGAATTTATTTGCTTTCCTCCAAGTGATTTCTGGTTTGCTCAGAGTTGTTCTTTTCTTTTTAAAAAAGAAACCCTAATTAGGCGATTTTAAATGAGGTTACCACAAGCCTTTGTAGATGCAAAACACAGAGGTGACTCTTTTAACTCCTGAAGCACTTTCCTCTCCCTTCAGTGTTCACGGACTTATGTTTTAATTTTAGAGCATTGATGAACTGATTGAGAAGACAGTCCCCGCCAGCATCCGCTTGAAAAGACCCTTGAAAATGGAAGATCCTGTTTGTAAGTTGCGGGGAGGGCTCCCTTAGACTCCGCTTGCTCTGGCCTATTTGTCTTCTATGGTCTCTGAAAATCCAGCTCTGGGTTAGGATTGCCCAGGACTGGGAATATGTTTATTCAAATAAAATAGCGGCAGTACCTTAAGGGACGGGAGATGGTGGAATATTTAGTTCCCGGAGCAGTCAGTTCTGTACCCTAGGTTGGAGTCCACGCCTCGCCTTTCTAGGTTTTTATCTAGGCGCCAGCAAACTTCCCAGCGGAAGGCAGTGCACAAACGCGCGTGCAGGACTCCCCACTTCCCAGGCAACCGTCCCTCCCAGGCCATGGTTCTCATATCCTTTGGGTTGAGAAGTGTCCTCACCTCTGTGCAAGTCAGGATACTCTGAAGGGAAAAAGGAATTGCCTATGATCATACAACTAGGGAAGTGGCAAAAATAGGAGATGCAGACATGTGTTCTCCTAACCCAATTTTCTTTATAGGACTAGAGCTTCACATTGTTTTCTTATCTCATGTCCAATTTCATTACTTACGCCTAGTGTAAGGCAGCAGTACTCTTCAAGTTCAAATGATTTTTATAAGGAAACATGCAAATAAGATTTGTGCTTGGTTAAAAAAGCTTAGTTTACTCATAGAATTAGAATTTTGTTATACATTTAAATATTTTTAATAGTCTGAAGACTGACTGACTTTCAAAGGTATTTTTTTTTTAAAGATTTTATTTATTTATTT